GCATACACATTTTTTGCTCTTTTTTTTCCCCCTCTTCAACTAGAAACACTAATAATAACAAAGAATTGAGCTTAAGGCCTCTCACAATAGAGAGCTGTATTTTAATTAATTTCTAAGGTGAAAATGGCTTGTGTGCAGTATGTGGCACATAGTATAGGTAAGGGTGCCAAAGAAGCTTAGTTTTGAGTTGTCCTGAGGAGCAAAGATAAGATGTTAGGGGTCAAGGAGGAAGAGATCTGTGAATTTAAGACATACAAAGAAGGACCTGGAATGAGAGTTTCAGTGACATAAAAGAATTAAGGGGACTGCCAATTTATGAGGGAAAAACTAAAACAGTTTGGGTAGCACTTGAATAAATATGTCTAGAGAGAGGACTTGCATCGTGATAAAATTCTAAACACTTTGGCAATTATAATTTCAGAGACTAGAGCAATAATATTTATGGAAAATATTCTAGAGTCATATACAAAGGACACAGTAATTCAAACAGAAATCATGGCAAGGCAAATAATTTTCCTTTCCATGTCATCCTGCTGTTGCAGCACCTGCCAGCTAAGGGATGAGAACATGAGAGAAAAAAGTCTTTGTTCTGTGCCGTATTTCTCCACATTCACCTTGTGGCCAGGGCGCAATGCAGGGAGTTAAGGCAGGGTGTGATGGTCAGGACCTGTCCCTCTGTCACCAGCCAGGGAGCAGGCAGGCTCGGGGCACACACAGGAGCACCACCAGCCCTGGCCGTCAGGCAGCTGTGCTGTGCAGGGTCTCACACCCGTGGGCACGTTTATGTCCCAGTGGCTGCCGTCCTCCAGCACAGGGGTGAGTCCCAGCAGGCCAGACAGGTGGGGACTGACAAGGGACAAGGACCTCTGGGAACTGTGACATGGCATCAGCAAGGGTGTAGCAGGTGAGGTTTTGTGCTTTCCAGCTAGAGTCATTTCCTACTGGAAAGAGTTAGCTTTGGAAAGCATGAAGCTGATAGCCTATCTGCTACCAGTTATGCTACCAAAAACCATTTTCCTTCACCAAATGTTTGTCCCAGGAAATGAGGGGGAAACAAGGACCAGAGGGTGAACTGGACAACAATGTCCTATTTCCAACCCCAGCAGGAGTGCCCTGGAGATACCAACACCTCTCAGAGTCCTTGATGGGCACCCGACAGACAAGTGCTTAACATCTGCTGTGTCTTTTGGTGTGTGAATCTTGTCATTCTGAACTTCAGGGTGTTGATTCCACTTCAAGCTGACCACGTCTTGTCAAGAGACATCACTGCAGGCAGGCTTTTCTAGGGCATGTCGTAGCCTGTGGCTCTCTTGTGTAACTTTCAGACTATGCTAAGCCATGTTTCAAGCCTCTGGGAATTTGTCTCAGGAGGAAGCAGCTTGTGTTCAGCTGCCAGCTCTCACAGCCACCCACTGACCCTGATGGAACAGGCAGCTTCCTGGGCATGTGCCAAGTGAACTGGCATGAGTCTGTTAGCAGGAGGGAGTTTCCTGAGGGCACGCCAGAAATCGGGGGCAGAGCAAGAGCAGGATGCAGGGAAGAAAAAGGCCAAAATTCTCTAAGTCTGAGCTATCTCATTTGGCTTTGCTGTGGTTTTAGCCTGGGGCCCTGGCTAGGTCAAATCCAGTGATCCCAGCAGGTCCACAAGGAATTGTCACAAGCCAAACACAGAGAAGTCCCCTTCAAGGTGACTGCCAGCAGTGGGCAGGGGGCTCTGCAGGGCAAGACATCCACCTGTGTCCAGGCCTCCTTCAGCTCCCAGAGGGCTTTCTCACCAGCTGCTGCTCTGAGCATGCCCTCCTTGGTGTCCTGCCATGTATGATCTAGTGAGGAGATCCTGCAGGAAACACAGGCAGGGCTGGGTGCATGGTGGCTTTGGTGGCCTTTCTCAGGGACACAAGCACAATTGGATGGGGAAGAACACTCTGCCTTTGCTGGACTGAGATGTGCTTGTTGTTCCAAGCAGATGCCATCTGGATGCACACTCACAACAAGGACCAGAACTACAGCAGCTGTTCCTGGCTCTGTGAAGGGTTGTTTCCCTGGAGCTGCCTTCCAGAGACGTGGCACAGGTTGGAACAAATGTGAATTAATATAGTGATCAGGACAAAATCCCTGTAAGTGGAATGTTTGGGGCATGGGAAGGAGGGGATAATGCCTCCTGTATTGCTAGTACTGATTATTGCTCTTTTTGGGGATGAATATCTAGGAAGCAGAGAAATGCACGCCTAAAAAACAGCAAACAAATAAATGGACTGAAATTCTGTGAAACTATAAATGGAGTTAGCATTGCTTCTGAGAATTCAGGGACATGACACACAAGACAAGAACATTTATTCTGTCCACAGAAGACACAGCTTGAATAGGGGCTTGAATAGGGGCTGTCCTTGTCTCTGAACACAGTGTCTGAATTATTTAGTACCTGGCCTTTCTGTTCCAGCAATAGATGCACTCAGAACTCATCTTGTCTGCTTTTTCTTTCTTTTCTTTCATTCTTTCTTAAACAGACTTGTAATTGCTCCTATGTATTATTTATTGGAAATGCTCTGCTTTTGTAACATAGTTGTGGGCGGAACAGGCTCTGTAGGCACAGTTTGCAGAACTCATCTTGTCTGCTTTTTCTTTCTTTTCTTTCATTCTTTCTTAAACAGACTTGTAATTGCTCCTATGTATTATTTATTGGAAATGCTCTGCTTTTGTAACATAGTTGTGGGCGGAACAGGCTCTGTAGGCACAGTTTGCACCCTGTATTTGGAATAATTGTCAGGAAGAGAGAAAATAGGTTCAATACATAAGGTATAAGCATGTAAAGCAAAAGATAAAGAACATAGAGTTTCCTCTATTTGCCCATGAATTACTGTATTCTGTGCCTTAGATAACCTGAAGAGTTTTCAGAATTTTACTGAATCATTGGTAAAACTGTGCTTAGTTGCATCCTTTATTCTGGCTTTATTTCTTCTTTTTCCTTTTCCCTTTTTCCTCTTTCCCTTTCCCTTTTTTTTTTTTTTTTTTTTTTTTGGGAAGCAGCCTTCTTCTGTAGCATGTGAGTGAGCAATGAAATCAAAGACTCCGTCACATCATATTTCAAATGCTCAATTATTCACTGAATGGCAGAGTCTCCATCCTTGCTTCCTGTACCTGCGTTTTAATTTACTTGAAAGAAGTTACAGTACTATGAATGTCTGGTCAGATGTGTGCCACCACTGCCTGCCAAGTCTCAGAGAGGATGAGCAGCAGCAAAGGCAGGAGAAACATAAAAAGATCAAGACACAATTCACTTTACCCACTGTTATGTCTAAAAATACCAAGTATACTGATCTTAAAGGACAATGAAATATGGGAAGGTTTTCCAAAATGGTGAACAAGCAGATCAAGGATTTATTTTAAAAACTGAAGAACATGGACAAACGGATTAACCCCCAGACAGCAACACACACTTCAGGGTGTGCAAGCAGTGCCCTGAAGGGCCAGAATCCACTGTGCATTACAAATCTCTTTTCTTATCCACACCTAGGGAGCTTTCTGCCAGTTTTGCACTTACAGACTGGTTTTAGAAAAGATCACATGTGAACTGTATGATTTTATTGTTGAATCTTGAGAAAAAAGGGATATGAAAGTCCTGATCACTGTGTTCCAATATTCAAAGGGTTGTTACAAAGGTGATAGAGAATCCCTTTTTACAAGGGGTCTATGAAAAAAATGAACACTAATGAGTACAATTTACTCCTGGGGAGATTCTGATTGCACACAAGAGGATAACTTTTCACAATGAGAACAGTACACCATTGGAATAATCTCCCCAGAGAAGTGGTGTGTTCCCCAGCACCTGGGGAGACTTAAGATTTGGCTGAGCTTCTTTTAAACCATTCTTTTGCCTCGAAAGGTCGGTTGGAGCAGATAATCCTTGAGGTCATTCCAACCTGGTATTCCACAGTTGTTAAAACCCATCTTACACATCCACAAGCTGCATAAATCCTGTGGAGGCTCTGGTGCCAACCAGCTCTGTGGGTTAACAATGGGAGAGACATTTATCACAGAGTTATCTTGCAAAATGTGGTTTGTTTTGCACCCCTTGCAATCCCATGCAGCCTAAGTGGGCTGGACTCCTCGTGTTCTTTCTTTCTCGTGCATCTTCCTTTCTGTAAAAGATGGAAAACTGAAGTATCTTGCCCCCAGAGGAAGAAATATGCCTCTCAGTGACCAGCTGACCAGATAGTCCCTTCCACATGCTGTGCTGAACTCCATCCCCAGCAATGCTTGTGACGTGGAGCTGTCATGTGGAGATTATTGTTGAGGAAACTGCATCTCCCACAGATGTGTTAAAAATTCCCCTGTGGGCCCAGGGAAGCAGGGGTGAGTCCCATTTCTTTCTCAAATAAAGGTGGCTGCAGAGCAGCTCTGCCTTACTGCTGTGAGGTGAGCTCTGCACACCTCTGAGCAGCCTCTTAGGAGCCAAACCCAACCAATAAAGAAGGGAAATAAATACTGGCTTTGCTGGGACTCTGCTGGCTGCCTTCAGCTGCTCTTGCACAAGCGAGGCTGGGAGTTGTTGCAGCAGCACATTTTTGCCTCTGGTTTGTAAAGTGCAAGGGGTGCTGTCTTGTTAAACAGCTTTCTGTTCTTTTAGGGGATTTTTGTACCCCCTCAGCCACATACTTTGCTTCACTTGAAAAAGTTGAAATGTCGTAAATACTTTGATGTAAAGAATATTATGGATTTTTGCCCCAGGAATGGCGTTTTGACTCATTGTATTTCCGCAAGACTTCAAAAAAACATGCTTGTGTGCATTTTTTAAAATTGCTGTTGTTACCATTTGCACAGAAGGTAGTAAAGGCTGATGATACAGTGATTTGTTTTGTACTTTTAAACACAAGACTGGCAGAAAAATCGTCTTGTTGCTCAAGAGGCTTTGAATCCCCACCCTTGAGCTGTGATTCAGCAAATTCCTGGAGCAACCCTGGTCTGAATCCCGGGTTCCTCCTTGTCCTGTCCTGCCGGGGGTGGATTTCTGCTAGACAAGCCAATGAACAGAAGCTCATTTATGTATGTATGTGGTGAGGAGGAAACTTGCTGCACAGTCTCCCCACCTCTTCCTGCAAAATGTTAGCTCTCTTTCGCACCAATCCCTTTGGGTCCTGAATGGAAAGGAGTGAGCGGAGCCGGGCTGTGGGAGCTGCTGATGTGAGCAGCGCTCCCCGGCTCTGCTGCGCACCTCGCAAGCACTCGCTGCCACCTCCTCTGAGCTCCCGAGAGAAGCAGAAGCCGCTGCCCGCGCCTTTCTTCAGCAAACCTCGGGTGCCCCTTCGGAGAGGCAGGGCTGAGCCCTCTGCTAATGACTGACATCACCGAGGAAATACGCTCGCTTGTTTTTTTCTTTTTTGGCTGCATTTCCCCCGGCACCGGCAGTATCTTGATGGGGAAGCTGATCTCCAAAGGCTGGAGGAAGAGAGATGCTCGAGTTATCATGCTGGGGCTCGACTTCGCTGGCAAATCCACCCTTCTGTACAAACTGAAGAGCGGCCAGGCTGTGGAGACCTGCCCCACGGTGGGATTCAACGTGGAGTCTCTGAGAACTCCCTGTGGCATTTCCTTCACCCTCTGGGATGTGGGGGGACAAGACAGCCTGCGGGCCAGCTGGCCGAACTACTTGGAGGACATCAACACCCTCATCTTCGTGCTGGACAGCACGGACACGGCCCGGCTGGCCGAAGCCATGGCGGCGCTGGAGGAGGCCCTGAGGCAGCCCGGCATGGCCGGCACCCCCGTGCTGCTCCTGGCCAACAAGCAGGACGTGCCGGGAGCGCTGGCTCCTGCCCAACTCGGGGAGATGCTGCGGCTGGGGGGGCTGGCCAGGCACCGCTGGATGCTCCGGGGCTGCAGCGCCCACACCGGCCAGGGCCTGCAGGAAGTGCTGGCCATCCTGGGAATGCTGCTGCGGGGCTCGGGGCACTGCTCCCTGTCCCAGGAGCAGCTCATCACGGAGCTGGCAGAGAGGAGGCAAGCTGCAGAGCAAACCTGACCCTCACACGGACCCCTCCCTCTCACGGCTGCCAGCAGGTTTGTCACGGGCGATCCCAGCCTCCAGGCTCCCCTACGAGGAGCAGAGCTGCAGCTGGGACGCTCGGTGGTGTCGGGATCTCTCGCTGCTCAGAGTGACCCCGAGAAATGTTAGAAAGTTTCTTTTCCCAGCCCGGCGCTTGAAGAAGGAGTCAAAGCTCTTCATTTCTTGGTCTCAAGGTTGTTTTTTGTATCTTATCTATAAAATTCTTTCTCCTGTCCTGCTGAGGTCTGCTCAGCAAGACAGTCCAGGCACTCTGGCTGCCCCCAGGGTGGTGTTATGTCTTTATACTAAAAATTACATATACAATATTTACAATTACTGTCTAATACCTATCACCTATGTTAGACAATGAGCTTCCACTCTAAATCAATCTAAAAGTGCCAACATCACAGGAAAAGATGGAGGCCAAGAAGAAGAAGAAGAAGAAGAAGAAAGGCTGGACACACCCGGATCCCTCTGTCTTGCCCCCCTGAATCCCCATTCTAAAAACCCCAAAATCTACTTTTTCACCTTGTGATAAATTCACTATCATTCTACTTAATTTGTCATGGCTTGCAGATCTTCATCTAAGGTTGGTAATTTGCTCCACAGGTCATAATCAAAGCCACAGACATTTTGGGCTCTGTGCCAGGCTCTGAGCCCCCTGGCAGGGGTCTTGGCTGCTCAGGACAGCCAGAGGGATGTCCTGGGTCCTGACATGTGAAACACCCAGCTCCTCACCACCAAAACCCACCAGGAGGATCTCTCAGCAAAACTCCCATCAAGGAGCAGTTTTGGCCACATGTCTTGGACTCTCTCATCTCTGGCTGCAGCTTGTCCCACTGTCACCATGCTCCACTCATCCACTGCACTTGTGTGTCCAGAGGTTCAGCAAGGATGCTTTTAAATATCTAATAATTTTAACAGAGAGGTGTGCAAAGAACAGAAGTTTTCTTCATTCTGCAGCTCTCAGCCCAGATACATCTACCCAGATGGGATGATCCTCACACGGGGGGAGCTTGGATGTGCCCCATGCTCCTCCTCTCTCAGCCTGGATCACATGTTCATTGGCTGGGAATGCAGGAAAGCACTGAAAGGAATGGCTGGATGGGAGCACTGTGAGCTCAGGACATCAAATGGGCAAGCAACTAATTGGTTTTAGTGTGGCATCTCTATGTATAATAATCTTCAAGCCATGGAAGCAAGCTGGGATTTGATGGTGTAATGCAGTTTGAGGATGTGTGTATATTAATTTATGCATTTCTTGTAATGGTTCTTTCTTTCTCCATGCATCTTTTTTTTCAAAGAATTATTTCATGGCAATGGTCCCTCATTTTCCTTGGATTATGTTTAAATGTAAAGAAATCAGATGTGACTTTTAGATGTTTGGAAATATGTCACCATGGCCAGTCAACCTCTAAATATCCTCATGGTGGCCTGAACAGCCAAGACAAACCCTGTTTCTCAGACTTTAGAGACTGCATGAGACCACTCCAAATGCATTGGCTGGTGACCATGGGCACCTCTGGGCACAGACACTCGGCTCTGTTCAGGGCAAAGGAAAACACCTGTGCAGCTCAAGCTCACAGCAGGACCAGGTCCCATGTGGCAGTGATGGTCTTTGTTCAGTCCTGCTCAACCTAACATTGGAAAGATGTATAAAATGTGTATCCAAGATTCTGTGATCCAGAGTTAAAATTAAAATATTTCATAGTAGTCCCTGCTTCATTATGAGATGAATGGGGGAAGGGGAGGGATAGGATACAACATTTTTATTTCTATTTTCCATTTCTGTTTCTATTCAGAAATCAGCTGCTTTCAAGGAACAGAATACTCAGCCCAGAAACACCAAGGAGAAATACACAGCAAAATCCCCCTCTGTTCATACATTTTACAGTTGTTAAGGAATAAATTGTCCAGATGCTGCTTGTGCTGTTATTAGCTGCACTTCATAGAAGGCAGCAGCTGGAATAGAGAGCTTAAACAGTCACAAAGAAACAGAATCAGACATTTATAGGAAAGTCTCAGTAAAAGAATCCTTCCAACTGTTTTAGCTGCATTGATGTAGAACTAAAACAGTGCTGCAGTGACGATGTGGCCTAAGCAGTCACAGTTATGAGAGTATTTAAACAGCACTGAACCATATAATTAATTCCATGACCTGTGTGCATGGTGAGGAGGACAAAATCAGTCTTCAAATCTTTGCAGGTGGCATAAGCTGGTTGATCTACCTCCAGCTTGTTGCAGGTGCTCATTTTTTGTCTCTAGCACCCAAGGCTCCAACATATCTGGTGGCCATTTTGGACACGAGTTCTAGAGGCTAGTGTCCCAAATGGCCATGAAAGGCTCTGTACTGCATTGCCATGCCAAAAAAAACTTGTACTAGTTGAGTTTGCTGGTGTTTTGGTCTTGTGTCTCGCATGGCACAAAAGAGAGAATTGTGCATCAAGGTAAATTCAACAGAGACTGAAAGGCTGTTGTGGTGATGTCTTACTCCTAAGTGCCTCTTGATGCCTGCATTCAATTCTACAGGATTGTCTGCTGGTAGTAAAAAGAGGCACTGAAGCCTTCCCATTTTCCTCTGAGTGTTTTCTAAGCTCTTTGAAAAGATAAAAAATAGGCTTTTCTGGCAGCAAATAGAGGTAACCACCAGCGTTTGGCAGACATCACTGATTAAAAATGCAAACAGCAAGGTGGGAGGTGGGGAAGGAAGGGCGATTGGAATCCTGAGGGTCTGAAACTGATGAAGCAACATTCCAATTACTGAAATTGTTCTCACTTCCCCTGAAGCAGTAATTTGGCAAAACACCCCATCTCATGGGGCACCATGTGATTTACCACCCTTGTTTTCTGGAATAAGGCTTTTCTGGACACTGGGTCACATTACTCAGCCCATTTATGCCATTGTTCAGAGACTGTCCGAGCAATGATGGGTCATAATATTTGAAATAGAAACACAGAGTTTACTTCCAATGATTTCTCTTTTCTCCTGCGTTGGACAGCTGCTAAAACAAGTCAGTCTAATGAGCATTGCACTGCTCTAATCAAAGGCTTGCTGGACACTCACCCAGGAGCACTTAAATGTTTTGGTGTCAAAACTCCTGCTGGGTTCAAAGGCAGTCTGCAGGAAGCAGCCAGCTCTAGGGAGGGAATTTTGTTACCTCTTTCCTGGCAATTCTGCAGGAGAGACCCTGCCACATGGAGTGATATTAATCCCTAAAACATCTCTCCTCATGGATTTCAGCCAGGAGAGCACCCTCAAACTTAGTTTCCATCTCCATGGGCATATGATAGATGTCACAGTCTCGGCACCGATTTCTAAAAATAACATAGCTTCTCTCTGGATAGCAGGTAAAAGAAAAATACTTAGAACTTTTTTCTAGGTTCCTCACAAATTTGAAGCATCCTTCAGGAGTTATTTGTCCCAGAGCCCACTCTGGTTGTCAAGACCCTTTTTTAGAAACTCTGCTGGATGCATTCTGGTGTGTATTAACCTTTACAGGGACATAACCAGAATCCATAGTTGTGCATTGACCTTCCCAGCCACCCCTCCACTGAGGTGAGCCTTACAATCATCTACCCCTGCTTGGAGCTGTCACAGCAGCCTCCCTGCCCAGCCCTATCAGCAATTCCAGACCCTGGGCCTCCCATCCCTGTTCTGTTTTGCAGGGATCACTGCAGTGGGAGTTACCACCGTGCCTTGCTGTTTTTTCAAGGTCACCAAGACACCTCCCTGCTCTTTCATACTGCTGATGAAAGGACATAGCTTATGCCTCACTGATTTACTAACTTTTCTGTAGGACTGGTTTTTAAAGCAGCTTCCTGAGTATGAACACAACACAGATTTATTTTTTAATTCTTATCAAGAAGTTTTCCATCCTACTCCAGAGAGCAGGAAAGCAGCAAACTGGGGAGAAAAAAAAAGCACAACCCAACAACCAACATTAAAACCAGAAAGGACGATTCATCTTTCCCTCTTCACCAGCTCAGGAAGGGTGACTCACCTTTTCCCTGCTCTCTTCACAACTTCCATTTTCCAGCCAGTCCATGACACAAAACAGTTTCTACTTGCATAGGAGCTGATTTCTGCTGCTGGCATTGTTGCTTTATTTTCAGATGGAGCTATGTGCCATTTGTCCTGCAGTTCCTGGTGGAGCTTCCCTGATGGATTTCAGTATTGCTGAAGGGCCTGACACCAGAGGGGAACCATGAGATCTCAGGGCTGCAGGGTGAGGGCATGGACAGTTGCCAAAAGTATTTCAAGAGGGAACAGGCAGGCACAGGGTGCATGAGAGGGATCTGTGACCGGATGTAACACGGGGAGGAGAGCGTTTGGGCAGCAGCCAGAGACCTGGAAAATGCTCAGGGGAAGAAAGGTCAATAAGAAGTTCTTTAAAGGCTAATAAGAGCTTTCTTTTCAAATACAATACAGAAAAAAAAATTCTGATCCCCCTTTTTTTGTAAGGACACAGGCTATATAATGCAGTGAAATGTCTTAATTTTTGCTTAATACACCTAACAGCTGTAAAGTTTGAAGAAACCCTGAAATGCCACTTACAAAGATTCTGCACAGGTAATTTACCAACAAAAAACAAGGAGCAAAACCACGTGTGATGCCATCTCTTAAAAAAATCAAAACTGGTGCTAAATGGTATTAAAAGTCAGTCATGCAATAATGATTAAGACAGATGACAAACTACTGTTCAATACATCACAGGCTTCAAAGGGTTAATAAACTGGCCTTCATCTAAGCTTTCCCACACTTGATTTTTTTCATAATGCATTTGCTTCAGTCAAAGCCCTGAGCCTGCCATCTGGATATTGTTAAAAATGCCAGGTGAAGGCTGAGATTTGGGTTAGGAACTCAGCAATGCATCCACGGCCAGGAGTGCAACATCCCCACATCTCATATTTCACACAGTGTGACTCGCGTAAAATTCCAGCCAAAAGGGAAAAGAAAAAAAAGATAATTTAACCAACTGCTGTGACCCAGACCTGACAAGTGTGTCCCCCTCTGCCTGTGCTCCACCTGTCTCTCTGTGGCCCAAAGCACAAACCCCTACTCCAACCCAACCTGGGAACTCCTCCTCTCCAAAGTTCTAATGCTTTAAGCCAGACCAGCACCATCAACGTCTTGTCTGCTAATTGCTGTGAGAAACAATCTCCCTGGAGCTC